GTGAGTTGGAAGGATTTTGTTATTTTCTTTGGGCACATCTACATTGCACAGCTATTTCAGGATACCAGAGGTATCCTGGAATAGCTACCCGACATCTACACAGGCCGCCTGTTATTGCAAAATATTTTTTTAAATAGCGGGCACACTATTTCACCATCCCTGTAAAACTCGTAGCACAAGGGTTATGGGATGAAATACTGCGTTATTTCGAAATTTGGTGCTGAGTAGATGCGCCACATTTCAAAATAAGCACATTCAAAATAAGATATGCAGTTTGCGTAGCACAAAGTGTGTATCTTATTTTGAGTTTCGGGTGCTGTGCAGAAGCACCCTTTTCGGTTTGGGTTTGCTGCACTCTGTTTCCCTCTGTAGTCAGTTTAAGGGACTAGAACCATTCCCCAATTCCTTTAGTCTCCTCGGAGGAGGATGATCTGTGCCTCCCAGGGTCCCTGACTGCTCTGAGTGCAATTTAGCTGGTCTCTAGGCCCTGCTCTCTACAACCCTCCCGGGTGAGGTTGGTGTAAACAGGCAGTTTGGGATTGTTGTGAGCAACTAGAATGTAGGACTCAACTGTCACTTGTCCTGTATTTTATTACACCCCGGCATCTGGTTACGAACTGGTACACAGTCATCCGGCCGCAGCACAGTCCCACTGGACTTGTGATCGTAAGTCCTTCACCTACCTTGGCCTGTGCCTTCCTATTTTTTCCCTATTTTTTCATTAGTTGCTCTTTACTACATCGGCTGGATCGTGAAGTGTGTGCAACCAGCAGGGGAGAGCTCAGGGAAGTGCTAGGAGTGGAAAGAAGCACCCGGGAGTGGGGACACCTTAGCCCCATGACAAAGTGGTGGCAAGATTGGGGTGCGAGGCCCCTAGGAATCTTTGTTGCCTGAGGAGGCTTCTGCCCCACAGAGGAGGGGGAGGGGCAGTCCTCCAAGTCAGGCAGGTCTCTAGGGAAAGGAGGGAGGGCTGCTCCCGCGGGGTCTGTGAGCGGGGCAGAGCCAGGCGCAGGGGCGCAGCGCAGCGCGGATGGCGGGTGTCTCGCTAGGACCCAGCAGCAGCAGCAGCAGGCGCGGGGGGAGCGATCGCTGGCTCCGGCCCGGCCGCAGGAAGCGACTCGCCGCCGCTGCTCGCGGGGACTCTCCCGCGGGAGGCTCCCCCCAGCCGCTGCTCGCGGGGACTCTGGGGCCAGGCTCCGGGCCGGATCCCCGAGCCCCGGCGGGGGCTGCTGCGGGGCCCCGGAGCCCGGGCTGCAGCCGGGAGGGGGAATCTCCGGCCGGGCCAGTCCCGCTGCTCCCTCCCCAGGAGCCTCTCCCCGGGCAGCGCCCCCAGCCCGGCCCGGCCCAGCCCCTGCCCCAGGGCGGGCAGCGCTTGGGGGGCAGGTAAGAGAGACCCCCCGGGAGCGGCGCCCCGGGGCCCCCGGGCTGCAGGGGGAGGGGTTGGCCCCGGGCTGTTCCCGGCGGAGCTGGCTGCGAGTCTCCGCCCGGGTTGTGCCCATGTGAGGAATGAATTTTGTTCTGCGCACCAAGGTGCAGGGGGGGAGGGTCCCCCACATCCAGGCTGGTGCCCAGAACAAAATTCATTCCACATTCCCAGGGAGCAGCATATTGGGGCAGAGGTGAGAGCTCTAGTTGGGGGTCCAGGCCTCGGGGTGGGGCTGGGGAGGAGGGGTTTGGTATACAGGCTGCCCTACAGGCACCCCTCTCCCACCTGCAGCAGCTTGGGGCCAGGTTAGAGGAGCTGCTCCAGAGCAAGTGCAAGCCCATGGGCCCAGGGTTGGGGAGGGGTTGGAAAGTTTTTCTTTTCTTACCTTTTTGTGTCTGAGCCTTTGGAGCGTACCCCATGAAAGGAGGGCTCTGGTAAGAGGGACTGTTGTACTACAGAATAACCAGCGGGGGGCAGCAAAGGGGCCAGGACAGCTCTAACTCCAGGGGGCAGGAATGGAGAAAGGGATAGCTATGTACTCTGTCTTCCCCCCTCCAGCCCCCTTTCCCTGGCTGTGCCTGCTGCCGCGCCCCCCAACAGGTGCTTCTCACCTGGCCCCAAGCTGATGTGGTGAGAGCGGGTGGGGGTTGTCTGTTCTCTCTCCTATGGAGCAGCCTGCACCCAGAACCCCTTTTCCCGAGCCCCACGCCAGAGCTCGCCCCCCCCCCAAATAGAACTCTCATCTCTGCCCCAACGTGGAGTCCTGTCCCACACTTTGGTCCCATCCCTGCTACACACCCTGCGTATGTGGAACACATTTTGTTCTGTGCACCAGCATGGCTGTGTGGGTCCTTCCTCCCTTGCACCTTGGTGCGCAGAACAAAATTCATTCCTCACATGGGTGCAACCAGAGGGAACACTGCAGAGCGGCCCTCTCCATCCCTGCGCCTTCTTGTGAAACAATCAAATTGCTCCCGCATCCTGTTGTCCTGGCACAACCCAACCCTGACCATGCATTAGAAGAAGAGGAAGTGGCCTAGCAAATTTGGCGGTCCTCGCTCTTACGATGTAGGAGGACTTCTTGAACAAACGGACTTGCCAACAGACAGACACACCTGGCTAAAATGCATAGTAAAAAGGTTCATTTATACTTTAGCATAGTCCCAAATACCCCAACTTTGTGTGGCAGGTAATGTGCATCTCTATTTCCGCAAACACAGACCATAGGTGACTTGCATGGCTGCTGAATCCAAGACAGTAAAATAAAATGTAGCAGTGACTATAATGAAGCTGGGCTGCTGTCACACTAAATACCAGGGCAAATTAGCCCACGAGGCTACAAAGGGCAGCAGGAGCAACAAATGAGGGTGGGAAGCTCCCAGCCCTGCCCGGCTCCGTCCCTGCAGCCCCTGGGCAGCCTGACTCTGCGGGGACCCAGGGAGGAGCTGAGAGAGGAAAAGCCACCAAGCACCAAGCTACTGGGCTGGGGGAGAGGGCACTAGCGCGGGTGACACGACACTGGGGAGCCACAGCCCAAAATGGCTCCTTCAAGTCTGCTCTTTCCCCAGCGCAGAGCTCAGAGATGCTGCTGCGGGGGAGTTCAAAGGGACTCGGTGGGTTTTGTTCTGGCGGGAGGGGCCGGGCCGGGGGGGTAACAAGCTCACTGGGTTTCTTCCCACAGGGCAGAGCCAGAGAGTCCCAGCGCGTGTCTGCAGGGGCAGGGCCTGGGGAGACTCGGGGGGCGACACGGACTCAAGCCCCTTCTGACACCTCCCCCATCGCCCCTCTTGCCCGACAGGCAGAGCACCTGTCTGCCAGGGGCCGGGCAATGGCCGGGATGGAGCCCGCTCAGGTAGGGGGTTCAGGGAGCTGCTGGGCAGGGGAGGGATGAGACAGGGTGGGATGAAGCTGCTGAGTTTCTGAGCAGGCCCATGGGCAGGGTGTGACCGCGCCCCCATTTCTAACCCAGACCCCTCTGGGCAGGGCTCTGGTTGTGGAGAAAAGGTTGAAAATGTGGCCTAAATATACCTCAAAGGTGCAAAACCCAGAGGGCAAAACCCCACTCCCAAAATTAATTGTTTTCCAAAATTTCATGGGTGTTTAGACCACTCTCATTTTGGATGGCCTGACTCCTGCTTTTTGCCTGGGGTTGTCAATACTGCCTTTTCCAATTACCTTATGTGTATAAGCGTGTGAGTGATGCACTCTCTTCACTTCTGTGGGAGACTGTAGAGCACATGAGCTTCCCTGAATCAGTTAAAATAGTTCAAAATGGGAGGACAGGGCAAAACAGGCCAACATGTTTTTAAGATTAAGCTAGTCTGTGGCTCTGCAATTACTAGCTCATGATAACCATCAGCCCTTGGGGTTTTCTCTCAGAAGCTTTCTCAGCAGTTGCCCAGATCTCTGTGAGGTTTGGTTAGGGACGTTGCTATTTATTTATTTATTACTTTTCAGTAAAAGACTTACTAGGGACTAGGCCCCGATTGTGTTGGGGCTGAACAAACACATGGTGAAAGACAGCACTGAGCCAACAGATTCCTTGAAATCCGGAAAACAGGCAAAGGGAGGGAGAGGAGATGGGCACACACATAGAAGAAGCAACCCGTCCAAGGTTACAAGCAGGCCAAGGGCCTAGCTACAAATAGAGCGCAGGCCTTCAGAGGCCCAGTCCCGTGTCCTGTGCAATAGATCAGGCATTATTATAAATTACTGTTCTTCATTGTTTGTAGGTGTTTGGGGAAACACTGGCAAATCCCAACTATGTATATTTGTGCAAAAATATGTCCCAGAGAGTACACTGAAGTTCTTTGTTGGGTGGCTTCTGGGCGACAAACTTCAGTCCTATCTGGGAGCAAACCAATACCGTGTCACTGAGGTGAAAATTGCACATTACAAACGGTGACTATAGCAAACAGTATATGAACAACTTGTGGGCATAAATGGCAAACTTTTGTAAAGGACAGCTCAGTGCAGAAAACTAACTGCAGGCTGGGAAAAATGCTGCTTTATAAAAAAAAAATGGCTAACTATACAGGGAGTAGAAGAGGACGGGAGCCTGGCTCTGACTTATAATACTTTGAGTAACCCTGTTAATCTGCTGAGGACCATTTTACTACACAAATGGTGTAGGAAATAACAAATGTATTAGCAGAAAACAAGATCAAATTATCCCACCCAGCCCCTCTAGATTTCAAGGAGCTGGGACCATGTATCCTCCTGTCTGTGTTGTTTCTCACTCTCATCCAGAATCCCTGTTCCCCTCCCTCCTTGGGACGAGCTCCAGCCGTGGAGGGCTCTGGGCTCTGCAGGTTTAGAAATAGGCAGGGGTTTGACTGCAGAGCTGTGAGTGTCAGCAAGGGCCCCAGACTGCCCAGATCCTCCACACAATTCCTCTCACCTCCCCACACGTCTGCCTCCCCCCAGGTGGCTCAGTGACCATGTTCCCGTCCTCTTGGGTTGCACATTCCCCAGCAGAGCCCGGGGACAGGTTCCACTCACGGAATGTCCCTTGGGACAGACGCTCTCCCCACCCTCCCTGCACCCTGATCTGCTCTGATTTCACCCCCCGTGCAGGGTTTCCCGTTCCCAAACCTGAGCTGATCGCGCGGCTGGAACGAGGGGAAGAGCCCTGGGTGCCCGACCTCCAGGCCAGGAAGGAAAGAGACATCCCGAGAGGCACCCGCACAGGTGAGGACTGACACAGCATTTGGCAAATTAAGGAAAAACTTGAGAACCACCCCCCAGTTAGGTATCGGTCGTAGCCTTCGCTTCTTCCTTCTCTCATGCAGGGCAGGGTGTAGCAGCAGACAGGAATTTCCTTCCCATGTTTCTTTCCGTGTGAATGGTTGTGTGGGAAGCGGAGGGACAATCCAATTGCTCGTTCTGTGCAACTTCAGTGTGTTGGGTTTTCTCTCGGTGCTGCCGCTTTTTCTCCCCAGCTCAATGACTCCTCCCGGGATTGTCTCTCTCCCAGCAGGCGATGGGAAAGCCACTGAGAATGAAGAGGGGAATCAACAGCAGGAAATTCCTGGGGAGATGGAACCGCAGGCGACCTTTGTGGGAAGAGCTGAAGGGAATGTTTCCCAGTGCTTGGAACTGGGAGAAACCTGGGGAAACTGGCCCAGGCCGAGGCTGCTGGGGCACCATCAAAGTGAGCAAATGGACAAATCTGTTAAATGTGGGGAAGGACACAAGGATCCCTCAGCCCAGCAGACAAACCCCAAGGAAGAGAAACACCAGGAATGGCTCAGTTATGGGAAGGGATTTATTGTGAGCCCCGAGCTTATAACAGTGCAGACAGTAGGTGCTGGAGAGAAACCCCGTCAATGTTTGGATTGTGGGGAAAGTGTGAATAACAGCTCAGATCTTAATACTCATGAGAGAAGCCAAATGGGTGAGAAAGGGTATGAGTGCCTTGAGGAAGGGAACTGCTTGAATTGCAAGATACCCTGGAGTATACCTGAGACAACCCATATAGGAGAGAGACCTTATAAATGCTTAGACTGTGGAAAATGTTTCCTATGGAGGTCTGCCCTTGTTTCCCATCAGAAAGTCCACATGGGAGACAGACCCCATCTGTGCTTCGTCTGTGATAAAAGTTTCAAATGGAAGTCATCCCTTGTTTCACATCAGAGAATCCACACGGGAGAGAGACCCCATAAGTGCTCAGACTGTGGAAAAAGTTTTATACGGAGGCACGACCTTGTTAGTCATCAGGCCGTCCACAGAGGAGAGAGACCCCATAAGTGCCTAGACTGTGGAAAAAGTTTTAAATGGAAGTCCGGGCTTGTCGCACATCAGAAAATCCACACAGGAGACAGATCCCATAAGTGCTTAGATTGTGGAAAAAGTTTCAAAGGGAGATCCCACCTTGTTTTTCATCAGGCAATCCACACAGGAAACACACCACACAAGTGCTTAGACTGTGGAAAGAGTTTTATATGGAAGTCTGACC